GGAAAACATTTTATTCCTCCACAAGGTTGTGGAGGAATAAATTTTATGATTTTGAGTAAGCATTACCTAGTTTCATTATTTGTAGTGGAACATGTTAAGTCCAGGAGTTGAAAAAGGCTTTGACTTTTGTGTTTTTTATATTTATTTTGTCTATATGCAGTATTTTTTGTTTATGTTTGTGTTAATCTTTGTTCTAGAATTTTGCATGTGGGAAAGATGGTCCGCCACATGTGGGCGCAGATGTTGATGTTCTTTGGAATGATGGCAGAAAGTATAATGGCCATTTCCAAGGAACAAACCACCAGCTGATGTTCACAGTAAGTATTTGTAACAAAATATTCACTTTTTAAGCTTTGAAAAGACATCTTCATACACTAGTAATAGTTACTTCATAAGGAAGGAGTTATGGTGAACATTATTGATGATGTTGCAGGTGTAATTGTAATTTATTTTAATGTGTGCTTTTAGCGTATCTGACAGAATATGTATAGGTGTTACTCAGATGTAGTTTTAAAGTCTCAGTTATGTTACATGATAGTAATTTCTTCTTCTAACACTTAAAATACTCTCTGTGCCAGTGCCTGTTTTATAAAACTGAAGGCAACAGTACTGATGCACTGCAGAATGGTGTCTGACATAGTGACTTGTGTGATGTATGATTGCTGGATAGCATAATAGTTGGAACATGTTGAGGATTTGAGAAGCCATGATTATGACTCATTTTCAGGAATCTCAGTGAGACTTGCAAGTTGCTTAGTTTGGACTTGGTCAATTTCTGAATACACGTATATAGCATGTATGTAGTCTTGTCCTGTGAAATTTAGGTATCATAAACTTTTTATGTAGTCGATTTGCTTGTGACTTATTTCATAATCATTTATCAGTTGAAGGCTTTATGTGGGTTATTCAGCGTCGGATGAGTCGGAAGTATTATCGTGGACAGGTGAGTGAATATGGCGGAAATAGTACGTGAATACAACAGTCTCTGTGCTTGCCACATCTTCAAATATGAAATATATCTCAGATTTTGAAATATTCTGATGATGGTGCTACACATTGTGTATTTTTTTATTTACTCATTTTCTGGAGGTTTTGTAGAAAACAACATTTTGGAAGATAACTCTTCTTTGAAGAAACTACAATGTTTTGGAAGATGGTTCTACTTCGATCTTCAGGTCACAGTAGGACAAAAGGCTAATCTGTTGGGCTCTTTGTTTGGATTAAGTTTAAAAGAATAATTTTACACAATGAAACATATAATTTACTGACACTGTAATAGCAGGTAGATGAATTGGTAGTGCTCTGTACTTGAGAGTTATCCAGTTTGAATCTCTATCAGCAACCAGCTGTCCTGCTGGTTCTTCATGATTTTCTTCAGTCTGTCCAGGTGAATTCCAGAACAGTATCTATCTATAGACATGATAATTTTCCAAATCCTTGACCACTTTGCATTTATGATCAGCTTTCCATCTGATTCAGTGATTCATTAAATATTGTAAATATACTATCCCTCCATGTTGGCATATTTTTTTACCTGAAGATTTCTTTCCCTTCTCTTTTTTATAACAAAATTTACCATATTTTCAAATGGGAATGGTAGATTATTGAATGATACCAATTTGTAATTTAATTTTTTCAGGTTGTTTTTGAAGACAATTCTCAGCTTGTATTGAAACGTGAGGCTATCTACAGCTTGGATGAAGATATGCCCAAGCGAGTAAAAGGGCGCTTGGTACGTGTAAGCTATTATACTGACAAACAGTATGACCATTATAAGAGTAGTCTGAAATGCATGCATATAATTATTGGTGAGACCTTCGTATCAGCCCTACAGCATACTATGTTCTTGTTTCCTTTTACATGCAGGCAGTACTAACTGAAGACAAAAGTAATTTAAATTGAGTCTTTGAATGTTACATTCCCTTTCAGTCTTCATCACCTTAAATTATTTTACTTTTATCTCTTGTTTTTATTTCATTTGTCATCTAAATATTCTGTGTAATTCAGCCACAGATACCAAATACCATGCACCCATGAAGAAAGTGCTTCTACAGTTTTTATTTTTTAGAAAACAATTATTTAAAAAAACTAATAATAGGGACCAAAGGTGATAAATATGTAAAGGTTCTGTTAAAAAAATTTATACAAGTACTTAAAACAGCTAATAAGACTGCATTAAGTTTTGATTTGGCTGTTACTTTAATTGAATGTATTTGTTTGTTTTTGTGTAGTCTATGGCTACAGCAATGAGGCATGAAGATCACTTAGCAGTCTCTACTGAACTATCGGGACATCATCGTGTTAATAGGGGTACTAACCCTAGATACAGTAGTGTAAGCCAAGTCGTTATGACCAGTACAAAATGAGTTGTCTTTACTGTCCCAGCAATGGTACAATTTTGTGAAAACATTGTGAATGTCATCAGCGATGATGAAAATGTACATTTTGAAGTGTCAAGGTGTGAATAAAAGAATTTTTGAGTATGCAACATGAGAAGACAAGTTTTAATATTCAGTTTTATGATAAATGACTTGAAGGATTATAACCACACTGTTTAAAAGGCTGTTGCATGCTGGGACATTTTGATCATGTAAAAGTAAAATAATATAAGAAGACTCAATTATAATGTAAGTTTTGTGAGTAATACACTAATCTTCATGTTAAGAAACAAAGTGCTAAATACATAAATAAATGGAGTCTGAAATAGGAAAATACTTCATAGGACTGACAGTTTTGGCTGTTATTGAATAAGGAGAATAAACTAAAGAAATGTAAGTATGAATTATGAACTACTTTGTTCTAATTGTGGTGGTTAATGAATTGGTGTTGAAAAAGTAACATACTATGAGTTCTGCAGTTGGGAAGTCTTCCACAGCATACCATGGATCATCTGGTGATTTATCTACCTACCATCAGTGTGAGGTGGTTGCATTATGGGAGCAGTAATATTTTCCGTTTGATGAAAGTTGGACGAGTGAAAGCTTGTTACCCCCTACCAACTTTTATGCAGTCATTAGGAATTATGTGAATAATTCTTTCTTTTTGTAATTTATTGAGTTTTGTTAACATTTGCACATTTAATTTCATGCCTGAAATTACATTTCAGTCTCAAATGATGTAGGTTTCCTACAAAATTGTTACCACATGTTCAAAAAGTTGTTTTGGTGGGAGAACATTCTCAGTAAATTAAGTTTGTGATATTTGAGGTTCTTATAGCAGCAGATATGAAGATAGTAGTCTTCTGGGTTTGTGCATTGTGTAGTCTGTTGGAAGTTTACTGGCATTAAGAAGTGCTTGCTGCCTCTATCTTCAGGGTTGAAGGCAGCGAACATCTCTAAAACATCAGTAAACTTCTACCAGACTACATGGCACAACCCAGGAAGACAGCAGTCATCTAAATTAAGTTTAGTAAATGTATTACATCTTTATTTTATGGCAGCCCTTTATCTGTATTTTGTTGGTGTATGGCTCACCGCTGTAGCAAAACCACTATTAAGCGGTGTTTTAGAAACTGTTTTCTCCTTTTGCCTAGGGTATTTACATTCTGGGATTTTTTGCATTGCTTGGTTTAATTACATTTGCATTTTGTGTGTGGTAAACTTTGCTATGTTTGAAACATTTAAAATGAGAAGTAAATCATAGAATCATATGCACATAATTGTGAAATCAGACGTGTGTAAGTTATGCATCCGTCAGATATTTTTTTTCTAGTTTTAAAAAATCTGACAAATTTAATTTTACATGGTGTACATCAAAAGTAGTGCATGACCTGTAACAGTGTGAAATTTTTCAAACCAATTTTTGACTTGAAATAATATAATTTATTAACAACTGTTATGCAAGTGACTGCACATATTATGGATTAACCGTGCTTCTGTTTGTAAATTTGTTAATACAGTAATTTGTGTTACTTTTATAGTATGGTGCAGCTTACTTTACATTTGCCTGCTTTTGTCAAAAGGAGCAAGGAAGGAATGTGACCATCTCTAAAGCTGAAGCTCATCGAAATAATATTTAGAAATTAAATTTCTACCCACAAGAAAACACAACACTCCTCCATTACATAGATCACATGGTTAATGTATATGATCACTTTGTACATCTTTTGAATTAATTTCTTACATATGCAGTGTCTATGTGTTTGTGTGACATAGTATCTATGAAAGTTGATTTCATATAGACATGAAGTTCACAAAACTGTGTGCTGCTGTTTCGATTGTGACTGCTGTTAAATTGCATGCAAACAAACACCCCCCCCCCCCCCCCCACACACACACACACACAAGGAGTGGAATGTAGAATGAGACTTAAAAGTATTCAGGTTAATAATCCTGCATTGACATGTCATTTTTTGCATAACTAGTTCTATCAAATTCCAAATAATATCTTTTGTCCAGTAGAAAGTGATAATCAGAGATATGGAGTGACAGACATTGAAAACATTTGAATAGAACTTTAGTTTAAATGGTTGTACTTAGAGAAGAATCAGCTTTTGGATATGCTAGTGTAATACAATATTTTATTGTTAATTTTAACAAATATGATTTACATTATTCTTGCATAGTAAAGTTAATAACATTGATAGGTACACTTGAGAAAGTCTTCCATGTAGTAAGTAAACCCATATGCAGTCCAGTTTCAGACAATCTTGAGTTTGTAAGTATCTTGTCTGAAATATCTTTGTTATTTGGTGAAGAATCATTTTGATCAATAACAGTAACAAAATTATTCTTCCTTACAAAAATTTACATTCTTGTGGGTCTTTGTTTTGTGATACTGTTTAGAAAACAGAGGTTGTATAGCATCAAAGAAGAAATATAAGATGATTGTGAATAAAGAATCAGGAAAGATGTGGAATAATGCAGATGTGTATTTTAAGGTGGTGTCTTGGTATTTGGAAAAAGCATAAATAATTGCAAGTCAGGTTATCTCTCTCTGATGTTTGAATTGTATGTCTCCTGAATGTAAGACATTAGAACTTGCCTTAACCTGCTTCTTCAGAAAAAATTGTTTCTGTTGTTGCAGAGTTATATATTTTCTTGAACACTATTGCTTCGGGGATGTAATGTAAAAGACATCTTATGCTTCTCCCAAGGTTTGGGTGCTTTTTATCTGATTTCAAAGCAGTACACTAATTGATCCATCAGTCACTTCCTAGGCCTTCCCTGGTCTTTGTGCCAGTAAGGTCAGCAGCACATAACTGTTCGAGGTATATGATATTATCACAGTTGTTGCACATGTTCTTTCCATTTGTTATTAATTTCCATTGCCATGAATTTCATTTTGAATATGATCTTTTTTTGTTACTCCTAGTAATAGTCATAAAAATCTCATCTGTGCTTCCTCAGTTTACCTGTCATCAGCCTTCCCAAGGTCCAGGGTTGACCAGCATATAATAGTGTTTGTTTCCTAACCACACTGCGGAACGTGAACAATTTTTCCCTTGTCATTTGCTTCCCAAAATGTCTTCTAATTAATATATTTATTCTGTTATATATTATTTAGGTTCTTTGATACATGTCTTGTATTAGTGATTGAGTTGTCTAAATATTTGAATGTTTTAATATCCTTGATTATGTAATTTCTGATTATTATTTTAATCCTGTTTACCTGAGAAGCAATCACTTCTGGGTTTGTTGATTTTTTCATCTTGTAAAACTCAGACAGGTTAATTTAAATTTTGGCATATGCCATCCTCTGTGTCCGTTGTTAATATATGGAATGGCACACATTTCTTTATTATGTCCAGTCATCATTCCTTAAATTTTGTTTAATTACCTGATTCATATACATTATTAGGGGTAGTAAACCACATAACTAAAGTAGTTATTCATTATTGTATTATGAGTGGTAATTACCGAGGAATTTCTGAGCTATCAACCTCATACAAAATTCTATCAAACATTCTTTTGGCAAGTTTAACTCCATATGCGAATGAAATTATTGGGGATCATCGGTATGGGTTCAGATGAAACAGATCAACAGTTGATCAGATCTTTTGCATTCATCAGATACTAGAAAAAAATGGGAGTTCAGTGGGACCATACATCAATTATTTATAGATTTCAAAAAAGCCTATGACT